CATTACATCCCAAGGCCATATTCACAAACCTGCGTTTATAGGACATTTTTAAACCCTAAATGCATTTAATAATTTTTAGTCCCCATGGGCGTATGGGGGGAGGGGGGTCATATACATAAAAAATCAGGAAAGCCTAAAGACAAGTGTACAGCTGCCCATGTACATCAATGGCTGTACACAGTCTTCGGTCAGGGCATATGTTTTTATGCATACGCGAGTTTATAAAAGTACCGTCGTATACCCGCTCTACAGCTACAGGTCTATGGGTGGCTGTACACAGCACCTGTGGCTTCCCAGGCAGGTAAATACACCCCAATTTTACGTGCATGGCCCCCATTCTCCTGTGTACATGAGGCCTTAATGGTAAAATTCACATTTTGTGTTTAGATGCCTTCAGGTACATTCTGTATTTAGAGAGAATAGAGATCTCCTGTGTCTAAATAAACCAAATTCAGAATGCTCATGTGAATGAAGACTAAAATATGCCCAAATGAGCCCAGACTTCATTCTCTGCCTTTGTTCTTTTGGGTGCCAGTGAAGGTGGACCTAGTATCAGTAACACTTTCAGGTATTTATTACCTATCACAGGGGTCATAGTACTCCCCCTGACAATACCTTCACCTGTTTTTCTCTTCAGAAGGATGGCACCATCTTTGTTCTGGCAACATCCAGGTTCACTATGTACTTCTTAGACTAAGATGCCTGTTCAGAGGTGACACAATCATGTAAATCCCGGTACCTATGCAGTTCTTGACTGTGTTCGGAAATGGCCGACACAGCTACAGCCACTGCTTCAGCCCCTCACTTTGTGACTTGTTACAATGTCACAGTCTATCTGTAAAAAATGAATCAGTGCAACTGCACTCGCTGTATTTTTCTTGAAGTTTCGATGGTCATCCGACTAGCTTTCTCAATTCGAAATGGAGAAAGCTGGTTGGATGACCAGTGAAATGTCTTCAAGAAAAATAAATACAGCAAGTCCAGTTGCCTTCATTTATTTTCTACAGATATACCATGACCTGGATGAATGAGACCCTTCACAGACAATGTTAAAGTCTGATCACTGGGGGAGAAGATACTGAGGAAATGCTTCCTCCTGCCCAAACCATCTCACCCTAGGCAAAGTTAATGACCGCAGTTTAAGGCCTGCTTTTTAAAGGGGAACTAAAGTCTTCAACTACAAAACACAGCTGTCAGGTAGGCTTTTATTGCATAGGTGAATGTGTATGCATCTTCAATAAAAGCAGCTTTCCTGCCAGCCAGCAATGTTTCTACACTCAGCCAGGCATGCACAGCTCAGTGCAAATTCTCAGCATGCCTTTGGTCCTGGAATAACTTAACGCAGTAGTTGCATCATCCCAGCCAAATAAGATGGCTGAGGATGCTGAACACACTGGGCTAAGAGGTCAGCAGCAGCGACAGAGCAAGGAGACAGACTCATTGCTGGAGGCTGGCACATAAGGCTACCAAAATGTAAAAGTATGCGGTTTATAATGCACGTTATGGAAAACCCCCCGAGGACCAGCAGCCATGTTTAGTCCCGTTAAGATACTGAAAACAGAATGATGAACTGAAGAATGCCGGAGCAGGGGTAACAAAGCTAGGACTCTGGAGCTAGAAGCCATCATGTGAAGAGCCCCAGTTTTGTAGCCTCCTGAGAGCTACAAATTCTCTTAAAAAAGGACTTCAGGATGTATTCAAATTAACCCTTGCAGTGAGACTACTCCCGCACTGCAAAGATTAAGTGCTCATTTTGGTCTAGGAGTGAAAAACAAACAAAGAGGATACACCCACCCGATCTTTGGTTTTGCGGCAGTGACCGCTCACCTCTCACCCCCTCCACTCTGGCGGTGGTATGTCCCTCGGTGTCATCAAGTCTAATGGACCGGCATTGAAAAATGTTGCCCTTAGGGGGTCAGGGAGGAATTTTTTCCCCTCTATTGGGAGCAAATTGGACCAAATTGAACAAAAATGTAGCTTATTTGTGTATCACTCGGCTGTAGATCCTCAAATCATCTCTGAATTGGTACTGACATTGTCCTTCCTTCTGGAGGGGGGCTACTTTTGTTCCCCACGGTCCCTGTGCGTGTGTGTGTGTTGTAAAGTAGCGGTGACTACTTCACAACACACACAGGGACCATGGGAAACAAAAGTAGCCCCCCTCCAGAAGGAAGGACAGTGTCAGCACCAATTTAGAGATGATTTGAGGACTTACACAAATAAGATACCTTTTTGTTAATAGTTAAGGTACCTGAATGTATTTTTTAGATGTAACTCCTGAGTTTAGTGTTACTTTAAAATAGCATTAGATATAGATGTAATCAGCACACCAGCACGACAGAAACTCGTAAGTCAGTGCAAATCCATTTACATGTCTACTCTGAGCCTGATGAAGGGGACCCTGCGCTTGATATCCTGAGTGGCATGTATCAAATAAATGGATTTGCACTGACTTAGGAGTTTCTGTCGTGCTGGTGTGCTGATGACATCTATATCTAAAGTTGTTCTGTGTGCGGCGCCATCAGCTGTCATTTCGAGTACCCAGTAATATTTTGGGATTTCCGGTAAGAAGTGCTACAAGATTTAGGACATTTGCACTTTAAAATAATAGTGACCACTGGGTGGCAGTAGAACAAAGAATCCTTACCAAATCAATCTAATATTTCATTCGGTAATAAAACAGTTACATTGTATACATCAGAGGGCACTCACACTCCTTCACACACACTAGACTAAGTCCTAGAAAATTAATCTTTTATATTTATACTTTAGATAGATAATATGGCAAAACAATAGCAGGTAGAAAGTCTTACTGTCATTGGCAAAGAATGGGCAGAAAACAGAATGACCACGTCTCCTCTCTTGTCCTCCGGGAACATATTCAGCTCTTTCTGGATATGGTCGGCAAAACACTGAAATCAAATGAAACATCAGGCAGAAGGTTAATGATCTGTGAAAGCGGAGTGTACGATGACCAGTGTAGATATATATGAAAGTGGCTGGTGCCAGCCGGATGCAAACCCATCATAATCCTGGGCAAAGCAAACTGCGCCAATGTCAGATACAATGTTTAAGCTGAAAGTTGGATGTCAGAATGATCAGATGATCCACTGACACTTCCTCCTACTCATGTTACTGAGTGTCTGTACCTCAGTACGCACATGGACCAAAAGGAGGAGTCTGCAGGAGCCAGAGCATTGCAGAATGATCTTCTGATCGCAGTTGCAATGTGTTACTGGCTCCAATGCAAAAAAATAATACACGCTCATTTTTAGCCTTTGTGAAGACGTCTGCATTATAAGTTTGTTCTAAAAGGTGGAATTTCCCTTTGAAACTACTTAAAAATCCTAGCTAGTTTCCCCCTATGTAATGTTAGGGAGGGGGCTGTGTGAACTTATGTTTACCAAAATGATCCCCCATTTGTAATGTGCTGGCAGATCTCATTACCAGTTATCAACTATCTGAACACTGTCTGTCCTAACAAAGGGTTAAAGTCTTAGAAGCCTTCTAAGTTAATGAAAGGACCCTCAGTACGTCCCTCAGTTTGTTTCTCTACTTTCAAACTGCTCAGATTAGCCTGGAATCTGCACAAAGCGCTTCACCAAAGATCTAAAAATGTAAAAAATATATTTGTAGAAATGATTGCTAGATACGATGAGTGAATGGGAACACAAAACAAACACATAGAGGGGTTTTCTCAGATTTGACTCCTACAGTGCAAATACACTTTAAAGTGACACTGAACTCAGGAGTTAAACCTTAAAAAGGCATTCAAGTACCTTAACTATTACCAAAAATGTATCTTATTTGTGTATCACTCGGCTGAAGATCCTCAAATCATCTCTGAATTGGTGCTGACACTGTCCTTCCTTCTGGAGGGGGGCTACTTTTGTTCCCCATGTTCCCTGTGTGTGTTGTAAAGTAGTCACCGCTCCAAGCTCGCTCCTGTGATGGACTACAATCTCAATACAAATGAGTAAACTAAACATGAGATTTTAGTCCATCACAGGAATGAACTTGGAGTGGTGGTTACTTTACAACACACACAGGAGCCATGGGGAATAAAAGTAGCCCCCCTCCAGAAGGAAGGACAGGGTCAGCACCAATTCAGAGATGATTTGAGGATCTACAGCCGAGTGATACACAAATAAGATTCATTTTTGTTAATAGTTAAGGTACTTGGATGCATTTTTAAGGTTTAACTCCTGAGTTTACTGTCACTTCAATCTAGAAGGCTTTCCGGAAAACTCAGGTTGACGTTGGTGCTGGTTCTTACCTGTATGAGGAGAGGGTGTGTTGGCCATCTGTCTATTACACTCCACTTCATTGTGGGTTTCACCCCCTTGGAATTATAGTACCGATAAATGGCATTCAGACTGCTACCTGCCCACACATGGGGAATATTCAGTTAGAAACCGAATGAACACATACAACGATACAGACAAAAGACCTAATTCACACAGAGAACACTCTAGGATAAGGATCCCGGTTCTTTTTTTAAAAAGGTAATTATTTTCAGCTAAATCCAACGAGATTTAAAAATCCTTATATTTTGCTTTCCCTGCCCCCCCCCAATTAACATGCTAATGAGATTTGTTCTCCTTTATTCCTTGTCCCCCCTCATCAATATGATGAGACCATTTTTAAATATACTCTTTGTTTATTCATTACATACCTTTTTTTTTAGGCTAGGTGGCATCATCACTGGGTGTCAGTGCTTCTCCATGCAATCCAGGCAGATGGTGGCTGGTGGGAGGGACAGGCAGGGTGCTGTACATAGCACAGCATTGAACCCTGCCTCAGTATTCCTATCAAGAGCCCTCAGCCCCAATGCAAGGAAGGGGAGGAGTTATGTAAATATCAAAAGCCTTGATGGGTGAATGTCAGTCTGGAGGAGTGTAGGTCTTTCCAGGCAGGCTGCATATGCATGCACACTACCCTTGGTATACCTACATGTGATGCTGAGGCTCCATAATTGTAAAAAAAACTGAAACCCAATGAATGAAAGGGGCGGACCTCAGGCTGGCGAAGTGTTAGATGATGCCAGGAAATGAGGCGGGCTCTATCTAACTGGCTGCAGCTTCTAATGCACATTATGAGAAGCTCACAGCGTGCAGTGAAATCTAGTATGTAATGAAGGTAGAAAAATCTTTAAAAATTTCATTATCATATTAATAAGGGTGGGGGAGGGAGGAAGCAAAGAAAAAAAAAAAAAACATAAGCAGATTAAACCTAAGCTTTGATTGTGAAGTTTGGAATTCAGTAATGCTTTAAAATCCCTAACAGAATGAAGCCTAATTCCAAAATAACAGATTGGAGCCTCCATGTCTCAATCCCAAAATGTAATAACCCCGTCATTCTGATATTCTAACAAAGTATATTAAAAGACAGAATTACACCCGGTATGGGCATTATTCTAGTTAACTGGGTGCAGTTCACAAAACACATAGGGGCCAATTTATAAACCCTTCACACAGCTCATCCATGTGCGAATGAGAATTGCCACTAGATGGCGCTGATAGGCAGAGGAAATCCCTCCATCTAGTGGCCATACAGCGTTGTAAATGTCATTCTGAGCCTGATGTAGGGGACCCTGCATGGCCCCGAAAGCGCTAGTTCTTGAATGGCTATGTTCCTTTAATAATGGACTTTTGCTTTTGAATCAATGGTGTGCTGGTGACATCTCTACACTTTCGGGTTATAAATCAGCCACACAGTAAACTATGTTGTGCTACCACAATAGGCGCAAGCGACAATACACCGGCTGTGCCGAATGGCGCGATGAACGCTTACCGGTGGTTGAACAGCTGTACTGAGGATACTGCGTGAAGGCGATCGCCCTCTCTACACCGTCACTCTCCATTTCTTCTATCGCGGCTTCAGTTAGCGGATTGACGTACCGGAAACCGATGTAATATTTATCATCGCATGACAAAAGTCTTGCGATGGTCGTAAGGTGTATGGGCAATTGATCAAAACTGGAGCAGCTGCGCACTGCAACCAATCAGCTTCTCTCTTCAATTAAGATATGAAAATGAAAGAGAGAAGCTGATTGGTTGCCATGCACATCTGCTCCAGCTTTTGCTAAATTCCCCTTTAAAATGTGTAACAGAAGAGAATAAAAAGCAGGTAAAAATCAGTGAACCGGCAGCGACCAGACAAGAAACAGGGCTGTGTCTAAAGTATATCTAAGCTCAATAACAATTGCAAGTTACCAGTCCTTACATGTGGTGGCTGCATTTGTTTTTTTCCTTTTATTTTCACCTGGTGATCATGCCAGTAACACACTTCCTGTCTAGGGTGACAACGCTTACTTACTGTACTGTGTTTATGGAGGAGCAGTGTTGTCACCCTAGGATAGTAAGTGTGCTAAGAAAGTATTTTGCTATATCTGTTTAATAAGTGCAAAAGAAAATTGCGCTGATCCCGTCATAAATCTAGTACTGTCCTGTGCACTCTGCAGTCTTATCTCAAAGAATATCATCAACACTGCTCGGCTCACAGCCTGTGGACTACAGAACACCTCCCGCCATCCTCTTCTCCATAACGTTTCCATATAATTGAAAATACTCATTTGCAGATTTAAGACCAAAAGGTTTCTGGCAGGATCAGCAAGGTCAAGGATTAGGGATACTAGACTGAGGATTTCTGGCGGGATCAGCAGGGTTAAGGATACCAGACTGAGGATTTCTGGCAGGATCAGCACGGTTTTTCTTTTGCAATTATTAAACAGATATCAAAATACTTTCCTAACGCACTTCCTGTCCTAAGGTGACAACCCTGCTCCACCAAAGATGCAGTATAGTGAGTGAGCGTTGTCAGTCACCACAGGACAGGAAGTGTGTTACTGGCACCGGAACACAAGACATATCAGTGCCTGTGTTCCAGTCCGGTCAGAAAAAATGTTGCATGCACTATTTTCTCTGACCGCACCAGAACGCAGGCACTGATGTGCCACGCCTTCCGACGCAGGCGATCGCACTGTGGCTGGAGGGCGTGGCTGCGGGACCATTGACTTCAATGCACTGCCATGCATCCCTCCCACCCCAGAACAAAGTGATCCGGCAGGAATGCTATCCAGTGCGTTCCGACACCAATCTGGCAGGAACGCACTGGGGCTGGTGTGAACTAGACCTCAGAATTTAGCTTGATTCCTGTTAATCGGCGGAAATTGTGTATGGCCAGCCTTACACACACACGATCAACTGCGGTCTGTAGCAGAAGACAAGCAAATGCTTCTTACAGCACAGAGCGGGAATCTATGACTAGGGAAGATCCTGAGGTCTGACTTCAGCCCTTCTATACTGGAAACTTCACAGTTCATTTTTTCTGAACATCCTCCTTAAATGGGGCCCCCTCCCACCCCAGGCGCCATAGCCATGTAGTCATGCAGCTATTTCAGTGTCAGTATGGTGCCAGGAGGGAATAAAGGAGCACAAAAGGGCTTGGCCAGCTAACAGAAGTATAAAAGACATTTATGTCTGTGAAGGTTCTCATTCATCCAGGTCATGGTATATCTGTAAAAAATAAGTCAAGGCAACTGGACTTGCTGTATTTTTCTTGATGACGTTTCACTGTTCATCCAACCAGCTTTTTCAATTCAGAATGACTTGTACAAAAAAAAAAGTAATTCTGAATTGAGAAAGCTGGTCGGATGGCCAGTGAAACGTCTTCAAACAAATACAGCAAGTTCAGTTGCCTTGACTTACTTTTTACAGATACAAGAAATGCATACTCCTATATACACAACATATTCCTCCCAGTATGCATGGAGATTACTGAATTACACTGACATACATATGTAATCTGTTGTAAAAGTCGTACCCGCCCCTCATTGTGCCATTCTCCATAAACAAGATGATTCTGAAAACTCCCCCTTCTCTTCTACTGATAATGATATTTTCTACCACTGCAGGCAGCAAGGGAAAAGGCACGTCATTCCCAGCACTTACTGCTGTACCCAGTGTATATACAAATGATATTACATAGAAATGAGTACAAACACAGATTCAGAAGAGCAAATAAGAAAGGACTGCTCTACTTCCTCGTTCCATCTGGGCCACCACAGAATTCCAGTGGTAAGTAATGACTCCTGTCCACCCATAAGCCACAAGGCGATCTAGGAAGATACCGGCACATGACGGCGAATCCTTGCAAAACTTTATTTATTATAACAGCATGCCAATCCAAACATGATGATCACTTTGGTGCGTTTCAGCCTGTACAGCCTAAATCATGATTAAGGCCCCATTCACACTGAGCGACATGAAAATCGCGCCATTTTGAGCGATATCGCGCAACTTTTTCCTATTGGGCTGTATGCAATCAGGAGCAATATCGCTCGAAAAAAGGGTCATGTAGGAGCGACAAGCTACCAGCGACGAGCTACAAGCGATATTGAGCAACGAGATGTGAACAGCTCCATTGAAATGGATTGGAGAAGCTACATAGGGCGATATCGCGTGGAAATATGAGCGATATCGCTGCAAAAATTGCGCGATAAATCGCTCAGTGTGAACGGGGGCCTAAGGCCACATAGGCTGAAACATGTCAGAGGGATCACCATGTTTAGAGTTACATGCCATTTAAAAAAATAAACGTTTGCAAGGATTTGCCGCCATATCCCAGTGCTGGATTTGTATACTGTTTTAGGGTATATGCACACCAAAACTGGAAGGAAATTGTAGTCAACGGAGGGTGCGTTGACTTGCAATTGCACCTTCTGATTTCCTTCCGATCCATTTTTCAATGAACTGGAAGGGCACCAAAAAATTAATGGATGTGAATGGGGCTAGTTCACCCTAGATCTCATACCTTACGTTACATTGAAAAAAAAAGTAGTGCATGTTCTACTTTTTTTTTTTTCCTTCAGTGCAACGTAGCGCAAATGGAACAGAGCGGTGCGAGCTAGCCCCGTTCAGTTTTTCCAATGCCCTTCTGTTGGCATCCGTTGAAAAATATATTGCGACACAACGGAACCGGTGTTCTATTGAGATGTCCAACTTGTCGAAATTTCCAACTCCCGTCAGTGCGCCTATGCGGCCAACCAGGAGCAGGATCACGTTCTCTAATTTGCGTTAGCGCGCCTGCGCGGGCACCCCCTGGCCCAAGCACTAACGCCAGTTGGAGAACTCGATGAGGATTGCGAGGCCGCACAGGCTTACTGACGGCAAATGGGGATGTCAACGAGGCTTGCAAAAATGCCACGGCTGGGGCGTGCGCACTAGCGTCATCTCGTCGAAGTCTCCAACGGATGTGACGTCACGAGTTGGAGGTCTCGACGAGTTGGCCATTTCGACAGAACACCGGCGTGAATGGGCCCTCAATGAATAAACTTTTGCAAGGTTTAGCTGTCCTGTACAAGTATAGTATCTTCCCATATCATGTGATGAGGCTTTTGCCATCTTTTAATATCGTTTACAAATTTTGCCTACACAACCCTTTTAAATGATTACAGTAACACCAATGACATGACCAAACCATGTGCTCCGTGGAATCCCCTAATCAGCAAAAAAAACGTCAAAGCGAGGGAGAGTTAGTGAATGGCTATCTTATCATCACAGGAGGTGTACGTAGGGTCCCTCCCTGTTACTACTTACAAACCAGTTGCCCCCATCCAGCCTATGCTACACTATCTCTCCTCACAGTTGCAACATTGCCATTAAACCTCTGCTATCTCAAAGCACAGCTCTGCACAGAGGAGGGTGGCACCTCTATATGATGCCAACGGATTCACTGAAGAAGTCTTCCATTTGAATTACAACCGCAGAATATTCTTTTAAAGCCAAGAGCTGATGATATGACATAATATAGCCAGTGAAGCCGCCTACCTACAGGTGCCTGAGCATTACCTAAAAGGCAAATCATTATCTCTTTGCACCCACAAATCCTGTTCTATGCTTTATGAAGACAAGCTTCTACGAAATGTAAAACAGAACTGCTGCCCAAAATATCAAGATACAAAAGAGAGCCAATTAAGGGCTTTGTTCACCCCAAATGTGGTGCGTTCCGGAGCGGTAGCTGCTGGAACGCACAGCAATCGCGCACTAAACTTCCACCTTGGTTCTGGGGCGGGAAGGGGGCATGACGGTGCATTGAAGTCAATGGCACCGCACCGGCTCACATACAAGAATGCTCCTCTACATGGGTACCCAAAATTGACTCAAACCATTGGAATATAGAAAGGAGCACCAGACTAAAAGATGAAAGATACTAGAACATTGTTCATAAATTAGTTATATCAAACAGCTTTCGTTGGGGGCTAAGACACTCCCACTTCATAAGGGGTACAAAAAAAAACTTTCAAACATTTTTCAAAGGTTGAAAAAAAATGTTTTTGGTTTTGGCCTGACAAATGTTTAAATTTCGGTTTTGGTCCATCTCTAATAATAATAATGTCTGGTGTATAGTCATAATAATAATTCTCATAAGCCATGATATGTAGTGTATATAGTAATGTAATGGATATAGAAATAGACATATAGATTGTTTTATATTTGTTTCTTTTTATTTATTTTTTTACTGTTAGAGGCTTCGGGGTAATATTAGAGTCTAAACAGACCCCTGATATTTCCCTTTTAAAACACAAAAAGAGATTGAGCACACAGAGTCCTCTATCTCTTTTTCTGCAGCCCCATCACTCAGTGCACAGGAACCTCTCAATATAGAAGCTTCCTTTTCATTCACATTCTGGAGATAGTAAACCATTACTATCATCCCAGGCGTGAATGGACAGAAGGCGTCTGTACTGAGCTGCTTCCTGTTCATTCATAAAGCGAGCAGATACTAAATATTTACTTAGAACAGGAAGTGATGTAGGATGTTGGGTGCCTGGATGAAAGTACTAAGCAGCTAGGTTCTGCTTCCTGTAGGCATTCTATGCTGTAACAGATAAGAGTACTTTTACCAATGAACCCATCATCTACCCCCAAGGCTTTTCCTATTGCTGCTAGATAAAAACCATCCTGCTTTACTCTACTCAACTTGACTGGGATCAGACAGTGTCTTCCCCGGGGTCCTCCTAATCCATACTGTGATCCTTCTTTTTAACAGGAGTGTGGTTCGGAATACAGACACTACTTCCTACGAAGGTTCAGTGTGCATGAGCACCGCTCTACATATGGGGACTGGAGTACACAGGTGAGAAGGCCAAAGCTGTGGGGGTGGTGGGCGTGGGGAGTTTGATTTTTGAACACACTTATACACCTTTTTAGTTTTTCATTGGATTATGTCTTTAACAGTCACAGGAAAGACATTGGTTTCTATAGAAAGAAAAGAAAGTGTGTTGTAAATACACAATACCTGTGACTGGGGACAGTTCATCCAGCAATTTCACCATGCCTTCTCCTTGCTGGGCTGTCCACTTCTTAATAGGGGAACCACCTCCAATTTTTCGGTATTGTTCTTGAATTTTCGGCGTTCGCCGTTTGGCAATAAAAGGCCCGAGTTTACTTGAACAAAAAGATGTAAATTATTATTATTATCCAGGATTTATATAGCGCTGACAGTTTGCACAGCGTTGTACAAAATAAAAGGGACACAGTAGTAACAATACAATTCCATACAAGAGGATTAAGAGGGCCCTTCTCTATGATTTTAATACTGTAGAATAAATACATTTTACTTTCTTTATAGCCAAATATTTTATCAAATGTATACTTATTCTATATCTTATAACAGTTGGGGGTTCCTGGTCCAAATCACGGTCAGAACACTATATGCAAGGAGTTTGCATGTTCTCCCTGTGCTTTTGTGGGTTTCCGCCAGGTACTCAGGTTTCCTCCCACACTCCAAAGACCTGCTGGAAGGTTAATTGGCTCTGGTCTAAATTGGCCCTCATACATATGCATGTGAGATAGGGACCTTAGATTGTAAGCTACTTGAGGGCAGGGACTGATGTGAATGTGCAACTATGTACAACGCTGCATAAATTGTTGTCGCCATATAAATACCTGTAATGAATAAATATTGAGTTGTGTCTTGTCCATGGGTAGAGGGTGTTATATAAACATATGCAGTCCCAGCATTCCTGTTACAAAGTTGGTTGGTGGTGCAGCTTATATACATGCAATATGCACAGCACCATCAATTGTCCTGTTCCTGTGGAAGGGTGGTGAGGCAAGCCCGATTCCCTCACCTCAGACCTGCCAGAAGGTCTATTGACATGCAGCACACAGGAATATTGATTTTTATTTATGCAGTTAGAAGTAGTCATTTAGAACTGTATAGTCTCTAAACAAATCAGAAGTTCTCTGCAAGAGAAGAAGTATTATACTCACCTCTCTGGTGGCCTGCGACTCCTTCCTTCCCTTAGTTCCAGCACTGCAGCTTCTATCAGTCTCTCTGGCATTCAACACTTCAGAGGGAGTGTCGAATACCTGCGTCCGCCGCTGTGCACAAGTAGCTTCCTATGACGCATTTGTCACAGATGGGTCCTGCAGTAACGCAGGCTAGGAGAAAGAAACCAGCATGCAGCGGGGGGGGGGGGGGGAGGGAGGGCACCCAATCATCC